CTTGTTACGGACTGCCACGGTGTATGATTATCGGACTTTCCCTTTTGGACAACGAACTTTGGATTCCCCTGGATGTATGTGTTTGCTGGCTCTGACCTGGGACTGATACCGACCGTGAGTTTTGTGTTTCACCTTGTCTTGTATGGTCTTGTTTAGTTCTAGTTCTCTTATTAAAGAGACGGTTTTGTTCAACACTTCCTCGTCTGGCCTTTTAATTGAGTTCACTAAACACTTTTCGGCAGCATCGTGCGCCGTTTCTGACATACAATCCTAAATAGACTACAGAGTGCTAAATGCAGCTGACAGGCCATGTTTAGTATATTATACAGAATATAAGAATCAGAATCAGCTTTATTGGACAGGTGTGTCGGACACATGGGGATTTTGACTCAATGTGCATATGGTGTGTACCGGTATATGCATATAGTACAGTATACAGTTATGTCTTTGACTACAGAAGTTGTCTGTCTTGTCCTGTAGGGAAGATACTGGTGGATGTGAGTAACAACAGGAGGATAAACCAGTATTCAGAATCTAATGCTGAGTATCTGGCTTCGCTGCTGCCGGACTCTGTCGTGGTCAAAGGCTTCAACGTCATCTCCGCCTGGGCCATGCAGCAGAGATGTTCCAAAGATGGCAGCTCACAGGTACAAACATAGGTGTGGTGCTGCCAGAGCGCACTGGAACAACACTCCGCCACTTTTTTTTTCTCCAAGAGAGGAAGAAGAATATTGACACAAATTTGGCTGAAATTCATAGTTACATTTTTATGAACACTTGAAGATCCAGTCATCAGCAAAGTGTACAGTATGTCCTGCAAGGGAACCAGTAAAAGCAGTGGGGATGCCGCCTTGCGCATCATTGTGTAAGAGGATTTTTCCACCTTTCCATAATTGTATACTACAAAAATGAACTTCAAATATTTATTTTACATCACAGTTAAGTTGAATTATAAACTGGGAGAATGAAATATTAAAAACATGTTCACCTATCAGGTGGATAGAACAGTTTCAAGTGAGACATTTTTGTGACTTAGGGCCACATGTTTCCAGTTGTTCTAACAGACAAGTTTTCTCTTGTTCTTTCACACTGTTTGCACCTTCAACAGGCCTGAAAAGCTAAAAATGTACAGCAGCAGCCCCTTGATCATGTAATGAGGCAATTTTATAATGTGAAACAATAGGGATTATCCTCTGATGAGCATCATACAGATTTACAATGTGGCCTTTTGGTTTTTTTTATCACTAAAGGCAAGTTCACTGGAAAGGAGTTTTTCAGGTCAGTCTATGAGGCTATTACAGTATGTTGCCGGGGAGGCAGTATCACTTCATACTATTTTATTGAAATGATGTGTATATTCAGTCAAGTAGACATAAGCAGATGTAATTTACTTCAGCAGAACCAAGTTCAGTCATTTACATGTTTATTTGTACATGAACAAGAAGAGGTGGGTGGGGGTGGAGGGTTTGTTTTCAGGAGTCTGTAAGAGTGACGGTTAGAGTGGGGGTATGGAGGGTAAATGGTAGGAAGGGGTTTGGGGGGTGAGGAGTGGGTAAGGCGGGAGGGGGAATGGGGGATAGGGTGAGGGTTTCAGGAGGAGGGATGCTCTGATACTCTCCTGCTCTTCTTTGTCTTTCATCAATCACTCGAATACAGTGGCCGCAGTGTACAAATAAAATAGAATAAAAACAAAATAACAAGTAAAAAACAAGAAGACAGAAACACCAATTTATTGATAAATATATGTACATGTATACAAGTTGGAGTTCCACTTGAAACTGTATTGTAGTTTCTGAGTTGTAGTACATCTAGAGTTGTAGATGTAGGTATAGTTGTATTTGTTGTGTTCACCTCGAACAGAGATCTCAGTTCAAGTTGTTGAGTGTAAATGTGGTCCTTCTCCAGCTGTCTGCTGACTTTCAGGACAGGGCCCCCTGTCTCAGTGATAGCAAGGGCCTTGGACAAGAGGCTGAATGAACACAGTCAAAATTATCACACTGCAAATGCCAGACCAAAACCCATAACATCCACTGGGAAGAGGTTAAAGCACCCTCATGGACTCAGTGCCAGTAGACAGCCAGAGAAAGATCCAATGACTGAAGCTCCATACTTTAGGTTACTGTATGTGATGAACACTGATGTGATGAACAGGCGAACACTGAGTTAAGAGTATTTAAGAACTAACATTCATACTTGCATATTGCACTTAGGAGTGCTGTTTGACCATTGTGTTTAGGTTAAATGCATTTTGTTTTTGTAAACGGTGAAGCATGTCAGTGTGCATCAGAAAGAACTCTAACAGCCAGAATCTTTTTCACGGCTCATTACAAAGCATGATGATTTGTGAGGACTGGCTTTCCCTCATTGCAGGGGACGGTGATAGTTGAGTCCGCCCGACTGCCTTGCTTCTCTCTGACACATTAATTCTGGTATCATTTAGGCAAAGATTATATGAAAGTCCTGTGAGCCTTCACATCCAGAGCAAACCTATCCCTGTACAGGACACTCCCAACAATAGAGCTCCTGGCTTAGTATAAATCCTTTTTGTTTCAAGGTTACCCGACACAAGATGTTGTATTTAACCTCTCTGAGATCTCTTGATGGAAATGCTGTTGCAGCAGAAAAGATTATTCACTTGAAGCTCAGGTCATAAAAAAATCTGAATGTATTTGTTAGTGAATTGACGTGTAATTGGCGGGTAGGCCAACTCCAAAGTCAAAGAAAATACTATACATATATATTGTTGTCAGCAAATCTCATGCAAGGAATGAAAGGTCTATAAAAACATCTTGCAACAGTCTAGTTTCAATTTTACACTAAAAAGGCACAGGAATTTCCTAACTAGCTGCTTGGTGTAGTTTTTAACAAACATTCCCTAGGGAGTATTTTAGGGAAGCGGGGCAGTGTCTGTGGGTCTGAGTCAAAATAATACACTGTGTGTGGTCACGGTAACAAAGAAATATGTTACCCAGTACAACCATGTGACACACTGGTAATAGCTCTTGGACACAATAGGGCTCTTTAGCATAGAAGAATATGTCACTATATTTCATTTGTCCTCTCCTCTCTGTTTTCTCCTTTCTGCTTCTCTTTCATAACTGCACCTTTAACCAGTTCTCCTTTCTAATTCTGGCTATGCGTAGGTGTTTATCTGCAGCAACTCGGTGGAGGCTCGACGGCAGATCATGGAGTTAGCCCGCCAGATTAACTTCCAGCCGGTAGATATGGGCACACTGTCTTCTTCGCGGGACATTGAGAATATCCCCATCCAGTTATTTCCTGGCTGGAAGGGCCCGGTCCTGGCTGCTGTGGCCCTCTCCATCTTCTTTTTCACTTACTCCTTTGTACGAGACATCATCCACCCATATGTAAAATACAAACAGAGTGACTTCTACAAGATCCCCATAGAGATGGTGAATAGGACATTGCCCACTGTTGCCATCACTCTTTTGGCCCTGGTGTACCTGGCAGGCCAGCTGGCAGCTGCACACCAGTTATACTATGGTACAAAATACAGGCATTTCCCACACTGGCTAGAAGGTTGGCTGCAGAGCCGGAAACAGTTGGGCCTCCTCAGCTTCTTCCTGGCTGCTGTCCATGTTGTCTACAGTCTCTGTCTGCCCATGAGGAGGTCTGAGAGGTACCTGCTGCTCAACACTGCCTACCAGCAGGTCAGTTGGATAGAGGGATTTGACATGTTCACAGTAATACTCATAAATTTGGCTCCCTCTTCAGTGGATATACAAATACACACTCAAGTGCCTAAAATACCCTGAAACACTACATATGCAGGTACATAACTTAATTCTTGGGGAAAAACGTGTTGTGCTTACATTTTCTATATTCCTGATTTAGAAAGAGTCACGTTCAGCTTTCCCCATTGAGGGGTCACCATAGTGAATCATCACACTGATGACTCGCATGTTGACATTTGGCACGTGTTTTTACGCTGGATGCCCTTCCTGACGCAACCCTAATTCGAACCCGGGGCGCGGCGGCAAGAGCGCTGCGCCTTAACCACTAGCCTACCAGGGATGGCATATTCCTGAATTAAAGTGTTTTATCAAATTACTGTGCAACAAATCCAGGGAAGGTAGTGTTTTGTAAAAACCGGGGGTTAATAGCGTCACAGCGGCTCACCTTTGCCCCAGACCCTACTTGATCTGGCTATGCATAATAATAGAAGAGCCAAATCAGCAACATATTATTTGAGCGAAACAAACAACAAAAAAAAACAACATGTGAAAGATAACTACTGTGATGAGTCCATCTTGAGCAGCCTCTGTGTCGGCAGGTCCATACTAATGTGGAGAATGCGTGGAACGAGGAGGAGGTGTGGAGAGTGGAGATGTACGTTTCCTTTGGGATCATGAGTCTTGGGCTTCTGTCACTCTTGGCCATCACCTCTATTCCCTCTGTCCACAGCACGCTCAACTGGAGGGAGTTCAGCTTCATACAGGTATAAACAGTAGTCTGACACTGTGCCTTAACTCCCCTGGCTTGAAGCAGACTCTCTCACAAGTGAGAGAGGAGGCTGGTGCACAAATAACAACTGCAGTGCTTACAGACAGAGATGATGGTAAATATGTTTTTGTTTGTTCCAGTGTTCAGGGGAATCCTGTAGTTGTGGGAGCTTTGTTTCTGTTCTGCTTCACTGTGTTATCCTGCAGGAGCCCCAGGTTACTACATAAAAAATTAAATACAGCGATTTTACTTCACATGACATTTGTCTAATTTAAGAAAAGCTGTTATAGGTCAGCAGAAATTCACAAAATTAGCAAACAGGAGAAAGAGAATCCATGGTACAGGGTTGATGCTTCGAAGCTTGAACTTAACAGGAGCAATGTTATCTAAAATACATGCAGTTAGTGAGTAGATCATCCACAGAAAGACTGAATTTTAAAACTGATTCTGATTGAGGTAGTTAAGAATATTTAGAAAAGATTTTGTGCTGATGCATAGTTAAACATGCAAATGGATGGATTAGAGACAGGAAGTGGGATCTGAACACAGAAGGTCACACCTTTTCATCAAAGATAATGAAATATAGGATCATAGTTCAGACACACCATGTGAGAACATGAGGTCTTACCCAGCCTTTCTTGTGGGTAGGACCATGCACACCTTGTGTCAAGGTAGAAGTATCACAGAGATTTATAAAATCCATAATAAATGAAATGATATAGAAGGGTAACAAATATCCATATGAAAATCTCTAAGAATTAGGACTCTACCATATTTGGCATTAACAGGGAAGAGGAAAACGGTAAATACCTAAATAAAATGGAATCGACCTTAGTCTGTAAATTCATGTTTTTATTGACCACACACACAAGGAACTTGTCTCTGGTAAGAACAGAGGCAGCCATCAGCAGCACCAACTCACACATCGATGGAGGCACTGTCCCTGCAAAACGCTGCTCTGGCCATGGGGAACTTGGAGTTCAGTGTCTTACCCAAGGACACTTTGACATGTGGAGTCGGGAGAATGGGAATCAAACCACAGACCTTCCGGTTAGGGCATGATGACTCTGCCTCCTGAGCCACAGCCGCCTCACACAATTTAGAATGCTAAGCAACTCAAAAAAGGTCAAACTGTCATTCTGTCATTCTTTAGATGTTGCAGCCAGGGTTGAGATAGATGCTTGAACAGGCATGGATGATGTGTTTTCTACTGAAGGTGTAACTTGTTGTGTCTTGGTTATCCTGGCACACTCACCCTCTCACTACCCTAACATAAGCTGTAAAGGTTAACTGGGCAACAGGAGTAGCTTATTAAAAACTGCCGTACTGCAAAGATAAAGCTGGATTTGTCTGTCACATGGGAATATTGCAGTGTGACTGGCCTTTCTGTCTGAAGTGGTACAATGGCTTCTTTCTCTTTGCTGTATGATCATTACTGTATGCTCCATCATGAGTCTTCCTGTTTTTGCTCCAGTCCACTCTGGGATACATTGCCCTGCTCATTGCCACCTTCCACGGCCTGCTGTTTGGCTGGAAGCGAGCCTTTGAGGAGGAGGCCTACCGTTTCTACCTGCCCCCCAGCTTCATGGTGGCCCTTGCTTTGCCAGTGTGTGTTGTTCTGGGAAAGGTGCTGATGCTGCTCCCTTGTGTTGCCCGCAAACTCCACCGGATCCGCCGGGGCCTGGACTGCAGTCAGGGCCAGTGCCAGCGCCTGGAACCAGTGGGCTCGGCAGCCCTGGTTTCACCCGAGAGAGTCACCATCATGTGATCACTACACAGAACTGTCTACACTCTTATTGAGATTTCTACATATACTGTCAAAGTTGGCTGTTTTATTCAAGCAACTCGGTTTACACTATTTACTCATGTACTGTAGTTTTCACTGGAAGGGAATATTATTCTTACTTTGTTACTGTGAACGGTTTTTGACGTGAATGGTATGCAACATACTCAAGACTAATCATTTTAACTACTGACTTTGTGCCAGTATGCGCTAAGTACTTTGCCAGTGTTTCACCAATGCTTTGTTTGTTTGTTCTAGCAGACATTACACTGAGATACTGAGTGTTGCTCATTACTTTAGGGAAACGCCAACAATTTTACACATAGAGGTCATTTTCTTAGTTCTGCTGAGCCTGTGAAAACAGTTGTATAATGTCTTCAGTGTCTCTGGAGCAGCTTTGTCAAGTCTGAGAAAATATGATGATATAGTGATGTCAAGTAGGGTGGAGACTACAGATTTCTAACAGAAAGCCTGTATTTTAAACTCGTGCATGGATTTAAAGGATGTAGGTGTTTACAGCATTAATATGGCCTAATCAAACGAAGAAATTGTGTGGTTGGAACATGTTGCTAGTTACTACTGTCTCCTTCAGTGCTTGAAATTGTTCTCATTTTCTGTGTCAAACTGCAAATTGTCAAGAAATGTTTTGAGGTCAGCTATTTACTGATTCTGAAATATCACTATGCTGTTATTTGTTCTGTCCCTTATAACTGTATTACTGTACCACTGAATATTGTGCCAATCTGTCATGCTCTAACCAGTGAGATTCATGGCTTTGATTAATATTTTGGAACCAGGACCTGATCCAGTATTTGGAGCAAGAAGCTCCTGAAAAATACAGTGTGATGGATTCATTTCAATTTGTCACGTATTTAATGAACATTTACTGTAGGCAAAAAAAATGATTGGATCTGAACTTATATACATAATTTTTTCTGTTATCATGTTCAGTTCAGGATATATGATGAAAAATACATAATTTGATTATGGCAGAAAGTAAAATGGCCGCCAAGGCTGCCATGAAGAGTTTTTGCGATGACTCCATTTCTGAAAATGTTCAAGGCCACAAAATGTACAACATTACCAAGTTTCATGCCTTTATGAAAAAGTGAACATATCACCCGGACTATAATAAAATTGTTGTACGTTTGTACTGAGCAGGTCTTTCTGTAAAAATATTTTCATAATATGTCTCGCATTAGCCAAGATATTTATAGTATGTGTTTAAAAACTATGAGGTTATTTAATATAATTACTAGGAATATGTTAATGTCAGGTTTTTAAAGTGTTTTGGAGATGTCAGGGTCAGACCAAGACATTTGTTATTTATGACTATTTACAACCTATAGACTATTAAGCTTTTTATTTGGGAGCTGTAGTAACTTTGTTTAAGAGGATTTTGCACAAAATTTCAATTTTAAAATAGCTTCCATAGTGGTACAATTCAGTTTAGCACCACAATAAAGCTGTACAGTGTCAAAATTGCTTAATCATTCCTAGCCACTTCAACTATGACAAAATGGGTAATCCACCTACTGTACCGCAGAAAATCATTATTAAATTTAAAGAATATGTTGCTGATTTTGCTGCCCATGTGGGTCATGGTCATTTGACTGATCTAAGGACAGTACAAATACAAAATGCCTGTTTGAACATATTCAAAAAAAAAAAAAAAAAGAGACATTATGTAAGTGTGCATGCTTATGAGTATTTAAGGCTTTTTTTTTAGGTTTTCATAGGGCGTAGGTGTGGTCTAGGTAGAGGGGGTTGTGGTGGCTGGGGAGTTTGAAATGATTTGAACAAAATTTTGAGTTGTTATGAGGGGCCGTATAAGACATTATGTATTCTCGACGTTTCACACACATACATTTTCACTCTCACATGCATATATTCTCACACATACATATATTCTACTTACACATACACACATTCTACTCACACATGCATATATTCTACTTACACATGCATATATTGATTCCTCCACTGAAAGGAGAATATATGTGTGTGAAAGGAAAATATATGTAAGTGAGAGGAGAATATATGTGTGTGCGTGCATGAGTATAGTGGAAACGGAAGTAGTATAGTGGAAACGGAAGTAGTATAGTGGAAAAGGAAGTAGTACTGTAGAAACGGCAGTAGATAATGCAATGTGATTGCTAAACACAGGTAATGCACGTAAGTTCCGACAAGCATGAACGGAGGAAATGAGTGACGAGTACTGCAGCAAGCCATTGGTGTTCTAAGAAATATTCTCGCTTCCCCCGAAACTGTAACGTCGTTGTCTTCCTCCGTTGTTCAACAAGCGACAGGCGATGTGGCCAGGGTAGCCCACAGCTCGGTGGAAAGTGAGATGAGAGAACTTT